TTTTTTTTTTTTCAGCTAGGTTATCAGCTAATTTTACCAAACACTTTTACTGAACATAAGCTCGAAAATTACATATAACCTATAAGCTAGCTTATCAGCTAGTTTTACTGAACATATGTTTGATCTTTTTTATTTGAAATTTACTAGGGGCCAGTCGCAAATTCGCATAACCATCTGGGTCCTTCTGTAATTAGCCTAGACCAAAGTAGTCTCTCTCTCTCTCCCTCTCTCCCTCTCTCCCTCTCTCCCTCCCTCCCTGTCATAATTTTGTACTACTGTGGTTGCATTAGGTATTCCATTGTTTCGGACAATATTTCTGCCTCCACTTTGAGGCGTTGCAGTTGGGAATGGCACCCGTGTACATGGCCTTTCTCCGTTTTATGGGTGACGAGACGGAGGCCCGCAACTACAGCTACAGCCTTGAGGTCGGAGGCAATGGCCGGAAGCTCATATGGGAGGGGACCCCACGCAGCATTCGAGACACCCACCGCAAGGTCAGGGACAGTCACGACGGCCTCATTATCCAACGCAATATGGCCCTCTTTTTCTCCGGCGGGGACCGCAACGAACTCAAGCTGAGAGTCACGGGCCGCATTTGGAAGGAGCACCACAATCCCGACTCCCATACCCAATCTTTGTGACGTTTGGTTTTTGTGATTAAAATTGTGAGAATCATGAATAACAATTTTTGTTTCTATGACCATTGTTTTTCTCCCAAGTCCTCTTACATGTGGGTATGGTTATCCTAAACAATATTGAAGCCTTGTTGTTGTTGTTGTCCATAAACGAGTCTACAGGTCTGTGTCCCAATCATAATGTTGTGCCAAAATCAAATAATTTGTGTGTTAACACTAAAGGGCAAATGAACTACAGCTCATTGCTATTACTTTATATTGGTCAATTTTTGTTTTAATTCATTTCACATCTAATGTGGGTCACACGATTAGGTGGTCCGATTGGAAGGCCTTGCAAACAGGTTTATTTCAACTAATTACACTTTTTCAAATAAACAAGTGTGTCAAACAAAAATTGAATCATAAAATGAAATATAAGGATTATGTATATAAGGCATCAAGAGACATAGAGCCTTATATAGATAACCCTAATCAATTTTACTTGTATAGTCGCGGACCACGTACGGGTAGGTTTGCTAGCGCGACTCAACTCGAGAGTCCACCCACGAAGGCCACCCCAGTGGAGGGCAACCACTCGGAACCCGAAATAAACTTCTCCACCGTGAACCTGCTCGCCTCATCCGCGGACTTGATGACACGATAACCGGGCCATTTCACTCGTTGGCCCAAAGCGGCACCTGGTCCGGAATTCTTGTACTCCCCGTAATACAACGTGTCGAGGGCAAAGTCACCGTTCCACTCGAGCCAGCCACTCGGGTGAATGTGGTCTCCCATGTAGGATTGCAAGTACACGGTCCGGGAGTACATCTTCCAGGGTCGGCCCAAGTAGGTCGAATAGGTTGACTTAGAGGCCTCGAGGTCTGGGTCGGCCATGATCCGACACGCTTGGATCGAGATTCCAGTGTTTTGCGAGGGGTCCTTGCGGTTCTGGGCGGTGATGGTGTTCTTCTGGTTGGGCATCGGCTTGCGAGCATGGATGTTGCAGCTCTGGAAGACGACGACCGCGTTCCCGAATATGAAGTCGACTGTGCCGTGAATGTCGCAGTCTCGGTAGAACTGCCTTTGAGAGTGGGCGTAAAGGGTGTCTTGGTAGCCGATGATGCTGCACCTGTAGATCACTGCGTGGTCGGCCCCAACTCGGAGGGCCACGGCCTGGTGCTTGGTGGGACCCGCGTAGTTCTCGAACGTAATGTCTCTGGCCATGAAACCAGCCCCGGTTGCAGCTGCATGCATGCCCACAATTGTAAGTATGTACAATGCATGTCAATACTGGTATATATTTACTAGTCATCCACGATCATACATATATCTCCGCACTAAAATTCGGTCTCTAGGCGGAACCTAGGCACCACGACTTTTGCCTACCTAGGCGCCAAACTAGGCTAAGCGGTTGTGAAGGTACTCGCGTCTAGACAACCATATATATATATAATTTTTTGTTTTTCAAGTTACTTTTAAACAAATTAAAACAATTTTAATTTTTAAACATGAAATTATATTAATTATAGAATAAAAATATCAGTAATTATTTTACAATTAATACAATAATTATGAATGTATTAGAATTTGCATATTCTTTGTATTCAACCTCATTAATTAATATATGTTAAATAATATATCTTATAAATTGGATATGATGACAAATATAAATTGGATATGAGTCTGAGCCCCCTAGGTATGGGGCGAGATTGCACCTTCTTGTCGTGGGCCAACCTCACCTCAATTACATCGAACCTCTCATCTTAATATGCTTACCGGGTTTGATAGAAGGCCAGGCAGAAATGTCAGTAGACCCAGAGAATTTGTTCTAAGGATCGGTCTAAGTAGGATCCTACAAGGCCTGTTGCCGGACTGGGGGTAGAAACGATTTAGAATATATGACATCGTCACGCCTAGGGGCCCCTTCGTCCCCATCTAGGCGCTAGATCCCCCACCTAACGACTTTTAGAATATTTGATATATATAGACACCTCCCTCTGTACTAATATTATCAATTTATTAATAAAAGTACTTAAAGAAAATTTAAATTTTTGTTAAGATTTATTTTTTTAAAAAAAAATATAAATGAGATATTACTTCAAAATGAAATTATTTAAAAACTTACTAATATGCAACTTTAACTAAAATCTGGTATGACAATTATGGGATTCAACAATTACCATTGGTTAGGTTAGTTTATGATAAGTTTAGGCACTAAACATGACAAGTCTTTATCATGATTCAATTGAAATCAACATTGCACATGCACCTTATATCAAAATTAGGGAGAATGTGTGCCCACAAAATGATAATAGCAAGAGTACTGGGGAGAAAAAGGTGAATAGCGAAAAGGTCGAGGAAATGAATTTAATTACCAAAAGATGCGGTGTGGAATGTTGTCATTTTCTCCTGGACGTTTTTTCTACCTGTAATGACTGTTTTGCCCTTCCCATCCCCAATGAGCATTATATTTGTCTTCTTCCTCCCCAACTTCAGCTCTTTCTCCTCGTACCTACACATATCAGTCGGGTTTGTAATCGTTAGATCATAATGCAATCGTCAGAGATAGTTGATCTTACAATTACAAATCTCGACGGAATGATTCCGTAACGAGACCTTAACATTTCCCATTAATATATATGAACATATTTCATTACATAACATTTAATTACTAGAAATTTACAGTCAAAAAAATATATGAAACATGTAATTGTTATTATATAATCTATAATTAAAAACAATTGGGTTTGCAAAGTCCTGTCAAGGTCATGAGTAAGTGTTACGTAATATGTCATAATCATACGAGTAATATAATAAGGTCATCGGTGAAGTATAATTATCTTTAGTAATAGTTAAAAATCATGATTCAACATTGCACCCAAAAAAAAATCATGATTCAACTGAAATCAACATCTCAATCAAAATCACAATAGTAACAACGCATTAAGTGTTTAGTGGAAGGAACCAACCTTCACGGGCTACGTTAATTGGAAAATGCTACGGTATCGTTACGGAACTATTTCGTCGGGGTTCGTAACTGTTGGATCAACTATCTTTGACGGTTACATGATAATCTAACAGTTAGAAACTTCGACGGAATGGTTCCGTAACGGGACCTTAGCATTTTCCACGTTGGTTTACTACTATAAACTAATTAATATATTGTGTTACAATTGAATAATATTGGATATATTGTTTCATACAATAAAAATAAATAATTCGTGTCTAAGAATATTGTATAAAAAAAATATCTTACAAAAAGAATCTTTTTTTTTTTTTTATTTTTTAGTTAATAATTTATAAGTTAGTCATAGAAACCTACTCAAATAATAAGAAACACCGCGTGTAATTGCAAAAAAAAAAAAAATAATAATAATAAAATAATAATAATAATCTATATATATATATAAAAAAAGAATTAGCATTTTTTAAAAATAGCAAGTCAAACTCTGGTCAAATATGGTTGAGCATTAATTGCATACTATTAATAGCAAATTTTTATTTTATTTTTTATTTACAAACATGCATCATTAATTATTGCATTTAAATGTGGAGTTTGTTAAGTGGAGTTTGTTATTTATTTTTGTGTAAGATTAGGCTGTTCCTTTTTCGTTTTCACAAATTAAAAAAAAACTTTCTTTAACATATAATCGTGTACCACATTGCAAATTTTATTTTATTAAAAAAAATAAATAACGCCTAATTTAATAATATAAACTTACGTTCGTATTTACAAAAAATCAGAAACTCTTTTAACATCAACTCGGATGCTTTTATTTTTTTTTAAAAAAAATAAATTACAATTTATTTATTTGGTGGATTTGGTTCAATTAATAAATTACGGTTCATTTAAATCCCTAAAAAATAATAATAATTTTAAAATCTTCTGTACTCAAAATACTTACAAGAATAATAATATTTACAGTAACTACAAAATAATAATAATTTTGCAATCTTCTGTACTCAAATTACTTAATAGAATAATAATAATAATTTTGAAATCTTTTGTACTCAAATTACTCAAAAGAATAATAATAATAATTTTGAAATCTTCTATACTCAAATTTTCAAGTACGGTAGTATCTTCATAATTTTCAACATCATGTCAATATATATTTTATATATACTAGGTAAATTTTCTTTCAAAAACTTTATAATATATTTATTTAGGCTTATAATATTTTAGATACTTTTATATAATATTTTATCATGTCATATTCAGAAAAATTTTCAATACAAATATAAACTTTAATATTTTTAGATATATTTTCTTTACAAAAAAATTTTAAAAAGTTTTAGGTAACTTTACATCTTCTGATAATAATATAGAAAAATTTAGATAATTTTACATATGTTAATATAATATTTAAGAGATTTTAATTGTTTAAACATACAAATTTTATGTTCTCTTGAACCAGATAATTTTATATCATTTGTAATAAACTGATATACCGTAAATTATAAGACATGTTAACCCCACATTGTTAATTTATAATTATTATTTAATATCGTTTACTCTCATTTTTAATTTATAATATTTTTTCTTGCTCTTTTAAGAGAAGATCAATAGTGTTCCCCACTTCTTTGATTGGGTGACTCGAACTTATATTTATTATTTAATATTGTTTACTCGTGCATCGTACGGGATACACACTAGTAATAATAACAACGACAGAAACATAAAGTCGCACAAACAATTATGAAAAGGCAATTACAAA